AAAAAAAAAAAGGGGGGGGGGTGTATTGCGCTTACAACAGCTTAGGAAGGGGGTGCGGCGTGGTGTTCCACCGCGGACGGCAATTTTTTTGTTTTTTTCTATTGAGGAACTGCATTTTTTTAACCACTGTAGAAAAACGGGGGGGTGGGTTATAGATGGGGCAGACGACAAAAAGCTCGACCTTCTCCGGGTGGCACCAGCCCCAGCAACGCCACTGACACAATGCCATCCTGAGTCAGTCATTTTCAAACTTGTCAATGTGGTGACAGAAGGGGGCGATTTATTTTTCTTCCATTCCCCCCCCACCCACTTTTCACAGACCAGCACTTTGAGCATGACCTCTCTGTAACACCACCATATGATGTTTTAAAAGTTTCACATTTCTTTATGTATTTATGTCACGTCAAGTAAGCCTACATGCCTTTTTAAAAAATGAAGTGAGAATGAAATATTTTTGTGTGTGTTGCCTTTATCAATAATTTTCAAAATATTTTGAATACCCGTTAACGCAGAGCCGTCTCATTAATTTTCGAGGTCCTCTGTCACTTTTTGGTTGCGTGCCCCTTGCACTGAAAGTTGATAGTAAGTTTATTTTCTTCACATCACAACTTTTATGGAGAAATGAGCACCGGGGCGCCACATGGCTGCGTTCTCTCCCCTGTACTGTATACAATATTTACCAATGATATTCAGAGCTCAAGCGACACCGTTCCAATCTTAAAATTTGCTGATGATACCACCATCGTTGGCTTAATTAATATCTGAAGGAGAGAGCCTATATCGCAACTTAGTTACAAACTTTATCGATTGGTGCGATGAAAATTTTCTCCAGTTGAATGTCTCAAAAACAAAGGAAATGGTTGTTGATTTCCGGAGGGGTGAACACCAGATTACAGATCTCAACATAAAAAATCAAAGTGTAGAGAAAGTGGAGGCATATAAGTACTTAAGTGTCACCATTAATAATAAGCTAACATGGCGTAGGCACGGCCAAATGATGTATACGAAATTCAACCAAAGGTACAGTTTCGGCGTAAACAAACAAGTCGTTAACTTATTCTACAGTGCAACAATTGGAATCCTGCTTAATTTCAGTATCACCTGCTGGTGTGGGAATTCCACGTCTGATATTAAACACCACATAAAACGACTAATCAAGAAAGCTAGGAACATAACACAACCCAAACATCCTTCACTGGAAGAACTATTTGAAGAAAGATGTTGTGGTAAAACTAGTCAAATTTGCGATGATACATCGCACCCTTTTCATCAGGGCGAGGACTGAAAGATATAAAAATTATTTTGTTCCCCAATCTGTACGAATTTACCAGCGTGCTCCCCCTGAAGTCACACATCTTAATGAGTCCCTGATATGGATAAGAGAACTCACTGAATGGCTGCTAGTGAAAACAAATTATTACAAATGTCTTGTGTTCAAATTGTTTTATTTATGTGCTGCAAATGTACAATGCAATCATAAAAGATTTCCATTTATTTAGATCAATAAAAGAATCTTATCGTCAAGATCTTATCTTATCTTATCTTTGGGCCTCTTAAATATAAACCGCAGTGAATTAGGGGCCGTCGCTATAGTCTGAATAATAATGAGTGGGTCTAACTAACATTACATTATTTTTTAATTAAATCGTGATTGCTTACATTTAAATTTTGAAAATTAGAATTAATTATAACCATTTCTTTTATTAAAGAAAATGTACATTTTTAAAGGGTCGTTCATTAATTGTATTCAACACTTTGAGGAAAATGCAATTTTCCACAACTTAACTTGTCCTCAAACTTTCATTAACGACCCCCTAATCATCATCAACATACAGCCTCTGTCAAAGTATGTCACTTAAGGGACTGTCAGCCTCTGTCAAAGCATGTCACTCAAAGGGACTGTCAGCCTCTGTCAAAGTATGTCACTCAAGGGACTGTCAGACTCTGTCAAAGCATGTCACTCAAAGGGACTGTCAGTGTTACGCACTGACTTGTATTGGGAGAAATTAATCTCCTATTTTAATTTTAATTGGCTCGTTGTAAGCAGTGCCTAACAAAGGACGATACCATATAATCAACAATATTAAATATACGACCCGAAACAGTTTCTAGTTACAATTAATTAAGATTTATTATGTCTTAAGATAATTACAAAAGAAAATAAAATAAAATTACAATCTTCAACTTACAGTATGGCAGATGTCGTACCGGTACACAGTTAATACAATTAGAAATAATGATGCCAATAAATAATGCGAAATAAACACATATAAGTAGGAGCACACAAATACACAAAGAATAAAACACGCCTCGTAATGTTAAGAAAATCTATCTCAAAAATCTCCGTCTTCTCGTCCGTGCCTGTCAATCCCTTATATAGGTGGGTCTACCGACGCCTAAGCCCTGCCTTCTACAAGCTACATGACATTTCGAGAAAAATCCCGTTTATTCTACAAAACACTACTTGGAACAGATTAATTATTTTTAGTGGCTGGCGGTGTAAACAAGAATACTTCAAAGGCCTAAGCCACACCCCTTTGTGAACACAGCGTCTCATGCGGGGTCAATCAGAGGGCACGCACGAGAAATATTATGTAAACAAGCTCTCTATAACAACCGGTACACAGTTAATACAATTAGAAATAATGATGCCAATAAATAATGCGAAATAAACACATATAAGTAGGAGCACACAAATACACAAAGAATAAAACACGCCTCGTAATGTTAAGAAAATCTATCTCAAAAATCTCCGTCTTCTCGTCCGTGCCTGTCAATCCCTTATATAGGTGGGTCTACCGACGCCTAAGCCCTGCCTTCTACAAGCTACATGACATTTCGAGAAAAATCCCGTTTATTCTACAAAACACTACTTGGAACAGATTAATTATTTTTAGTGGCTGGCGGTGTAAACAAGAATACTTCAAAGGCCTAAGCCACACCCCTTTGTGAACACAGCGTCTCATGCGGGGTCAATCAGAGGGCACGCACGAGAAATATTATGTAAACAAGTTCTCTGTAACAGTCAGCCTCTGTTAAAGCATGTCACTCAAAAGGACTGCCAGCCTCTGTCAAAGCATGTCACTCAAGGGACTGTCAGCCTCTGTCAAAGCATGTCACTCAAGGGACTGTCAGCCTCTGTCAAAGCGTGTCACTCAAGGGACTGTCAGCCTCTGTCAAAGCATGTCACTCAAAGGGACTGTCAGGCTCTGTCAAAGCCTGCGAATGCTCCTATCCATATCCAATTTCTTTCCAGGATTTGTTTCTCTATTGGTTTGTGTCCACAGATCTTCCACAACTTGATGTTTTCTCTCCACACATCTCTCACAACTTGATAATTTCTCTCCACACATCTCCCACAACTTGATATTTTCAATCTTATCATACCATTGTATTTTCAATATATTTCTCAGCCATCTGTTGATGAAGGTGTGAGTTCTGTTTGGTGATAGTTTCTGTGGTTCTCCATGTTTCAGTTAATAGGACTGCTTTCACATTGGAGCTTACAATTCTTATTTTTGTTTTGTTAAAGATGTAGTCTGGGTGCTGGGTGGCCGAGTGGTCTAAACTGAGCATAGCAGCAGACAAGTTTTTTGCAGAATGCCCTGACATTGTCATAGGCAACACTGACAAGCCACCCCTGGTCTTGTAACTTCTTGTTGAGTACATTCAGCTCCTGTGTAATGCAAACAAGAAAAGCCAAGTCCATGAGCCATTTGGGATCACTTAGTACAGGAACAACCACCCCATCCTTCTCCACGAAGGCTTTAAATGATAAAACTTGTTCAAACAGTAGGCAGAAGCAGGCAATATGTATGAATTATTGATGCAAAGGAATGTACTATTATAGGGAGAATAAATTTGATTTTTTTATCGTTAGAAAGGCCTTTTTAATTACCTTTATTTTGAAAGTGACCAAGCTGACAGCATGGGAATTTCTCTGACTCATAAATACTAGCGGTAATTTTAATAAGGATTCTTTGGTACTATGTCAGATTGCTACGACTTACATAATTACCCACCAACTGACTTTTTAAACTTTCTCAAAACCACAATTTAACCGCCATGTTTCTCTTATAAAATAAAACGTTTACTCCGATTTTAAAATGGGTTTTACCATTATAATCAACGTTCAAATCTATACAAACATAATATAATCAGCATTATACTAATCGGTGAGATTCGACTGAAACCGTCGCGGAGGGTTACATTATAGATATGAATGGGGAAAACGCGCGGGCCGCACACTAAATTTTGCTGTCACGTCGCGTACCGCATATCGTCTTGCGGGCCGCAGAGTTTGAGACCCCTCTTATAATTATAATGCCTTCTATATCTGATTCTGTAATAAACTAATTCATGTAGGCCTAGTTGGTTCATTGTAGGTTCTAGCAGTTTTCGTTTTACGCAGTTGCGGCTCCTGTTGCTTAACGACGGAATGGCGTAGCCTTTAGCAGTAATCTACTCTTTCTCCGCAAGTACAAACGATTTCAAATACCATAAAAATTAAAATATATGAATTTTAGTTATGAAATATATAGCTGACATTTTTTAAAACTTAGCCAAATTATTAATATTACTTAATTTAAAAATAATGCATCGATATCAGTACTGAGTACCGAGGCCGAGAGTAGTATCAGTATCAGTATCAGAAGAACCTACTCACTACTTAGTATATTAATTATTAATCAGTTAAGTTAACACAAAGTGATAATTTAAACTGTTGTTTTAATTTAGCATTTCGTAAAATGGATTTGATTGTGGAAAGATAGGTACTTTGACAGAAATTTTCAACTTCGTCCTATTGCCATAAATTCATAAATCATAAATGATATCTTTGAGTTTAAGTAAAGGGCTAGCTATTTTTAAGAGCTTTGCAGCTGCCCTTTGCAAAAACACCAATTTCATCTTTCTAGATTTTATAGAAACGAAGTTATGATTATTTTTTGGTGAATTTTTTATACCCCATTATTTATCGTTGTATTTATTAACTCAAACTGTGAAAACTTGTGACCGACTTTCCAAATTTCTGCCTTATTTTGCCCACAACTTTTTATTTTTAAAGATAATACTCAATGCAGTTGCATTGTATATACCACTCTTACTTAAAACTCTAAATACTGTAGTATGAGTAGACATTTCAGTTTCAAAATAGGTCTAGTTTTACTTGTAACTTTGGCTTAACTTAAAACTTAAATTTAAATTAAAGACCTGAGTGAGTCAACTTTAGTATAGGTTTTATCATTATTGTTTCTTCCCTAGGCCTAACCTTTAATTTTAATTAAATAGTTACTACAATTCAATTCAAAAATTGGAGGGGGGGGGGGGTGACAATTAGCATTAGAAGTAAATGATCTTTACCTTGTATGTTATGGTAATTTATATTTAGGCACCTATCTTATGGCTTGTCAATTTACATAGAATTTCTATTAGAAATAAATAATTTATATCTTTAATAATATTAATAATATAATTATAATATATGCATATAATATTGACACTATAGTGTAGGCGTAGGGTATGGAAAGTAGTATTAGTATAGGCCTACTGATTCAAGCAACTGACTCTTGATCTCAGTGAAACTCTTTGTTTAAATGTAAAACCTAGTATAGTAAATAAAGAAATTTTCATGAGCATGGGGCCAATTGATATAAAAAAGGAAATTTTCTTAAAAACAAATAGAACAAATATTGTAGTAGTAGTAGTAGTGTGGTGTAAATTACATGTGGGCATAATTTATTTACAACAAAAATAAATACACTAGAATGTTTCACTTTCAGAATATTGTTTGCTCATCAACAATTATAACCTTTAAATACCAGGGTATAGTTTGCACTACAGACTACAGACTACAGACTTATGTTTTTGGCCTATTATTAATATACATTGAAATAAACCTACACAATTTTTTTAATGAAAATTTTATGTCCACAATAAAGTTGAATTCATTAGTGTTTTAATCAGTGTTATATTAAATTATATATTGTACATTTTAGAACAATGCATTTAGATTTTATTTTAGATTTTCTCATATTCTTTCCTTTTAACTTATACAAGTTTGTTTTGTAGTTGCAAACAAACAGGCTAAACAATGTCAGTAATTACTAAGATACCAGAACCTAATCTCTGGGAAGAGATTTGCAAAGGTAAACTTTAATATATTAATTAATGATCTTATTTATTTATGTCTTTAAATTTGTTAATCCGAATTTATTTAAAATTTGCTTTAATGCTCAATAAATAGTAGGCCTATTTTAAAATATCGTATTAAATTGGACATTAAAAAAAAAAAATATTAACTATTAAAACTAAAAGGATGTTAAATGTCAATTTTTATGGCAAAAACCAATAATGGATATCATATGTAGGCTACATTAATGATTGCGGCTATTCGGATCAGGTCCGAGAAGTGAGAGTTTGGGTTTATTAAAAAATATTTAAAAACTATTGTAGGGTTTGTAAGACAAAATTAGGTATCAAATGAAAGATAATTGAATGGACTATATTTTTGTAAACTTTCTTCTTCAGCTTAACTAAAAATAAAACTACCGGTAAAACAAATGACATCCAAATAGCATTTAGTCAAAATGGACCCGGACACGCAACGCCACTTTTCGGACCCGGGTCCCTTTAGACTCAATACTCTTCAGATGTCATTTTTGGTAGTTTATTTTAGTTAAACTGAAGAAGTTTACAAACATATAGTCCATTCAATTATCTTTCAGTTGATACCAAATTTGTCGTACAACCTAAAAATAATTTTTTTTTAAAATTTTAATCCCAACCTCTCACTTCTTGGACCTGGGTCCAAATAGCCACTTTGTACATTAGCTTATAATTATACATGTATAAAAATAAATTATGTGGGGGGAGGACAGTTGACTTGGTCAATCCTGAAGTCAAAATGCAATGAACAAAGTATCACCAATTTTTAATCTATTGCACATAGAATTTGCTTCACAAAGGCCACCGTTTGAAGAAGATACAGACAGAGCATCAGTTGCTACTGATTACAGTGACTATGATCCAGCCAGACACAATCCAGTCTTCTATGGCAAGATGTTTACCAAAGTTGAGATTGATGAAGATGTGAGTGTTGAGTTTGATCCAGCTATTAGTCATCCATCTTGTCTTGGTTACAGTTTTGCTGAGAAACCAGTTAAAAAGGAAACTTCTGAGCCCACCACCCTTCCTGATTATCATACATGTAAGAATCTCAGAATATAAACTAAATTGAAACATGTTTTGTTTTTAGTGTGCCAGAGTATAGTACACAGATATTGTTAACTAATTTAAATAAAGTTTTGTTTTATTATTTACATATAGGCAATATAGGCTTATTTACAAATTTATTCCACTTCCTTTATCTTTATTTTAATGACTTGATTGCGGTGCACCTTATCTAATTAATAGTAAACAAAAGTATTATAAAAATTGTTTTGATAAAAATTCAACAAATTATATTATGTACCCATGCTTTATGTCATATAATTACTTGTTTATAAGTTTCACTCAAACTAATTAATTTGAAAAGCAATAAATTATTGAAAATTAGCATAAATAATTTTTTAAAATCTTATTGAGTCTTCAATGTATAACGAGAGTAAAAATCAGCATCACTTTCATTTGTTTTGTTTTCTTCTTGTGAAGGTCCAGCAACAGATTACTTAAATCATTATATATATCCATGGCTTCTTCCAGCATTAGAGGCAATGTTAAAAAAAGCAAAGCTAGAAAAATGTTTTGAGGTAAGAGTTAGAGAGCTTAGAAAAAATAATAAATGATGGGGAGTTTAACCTGACAATTGGGATATATCAACCATACATAGAGATAGGATGCACATAATAATTTCTGGATATTGTTTAACACTAAATCTTTTATGTGATTTGTTAAAACAATTTTTCATGAAGACACTCTTACAAAGGCACGGCTCCACATTTTAACATGAGGAGCATAATTGACATATATTTTGTTCATGAGCTTTTCATGTTAGAATGTCAGACAGTAAACAAATATTACTAATATAATCAGTTCCTATAGTTCTCCTCTGGTAATTAATTTGTATTCACAATAACTAATTAACTGGGCCATTATTATAGTTTTATAAAGTGTTGGTTATATTTTAGGAAGCTATTCATGAGGATGTGAGATAATCATTTTTGTTGTCAATGAGGTTACAATTTTATCAGGGCTGCAGAAGATGAACTATATTTTACAAATGAATGTCACTAAACAACTGCACTGGAGTTGATTTCTCTTATTAAGTAAATATAAAAACTGGCAGAAATTTTCACCATCATTTCTTATTTTATTGAATGCTATCATTTATTGCCAAGGCAAAAGTGAATGATATTTTTATAGCTCAAGATTTTTAATCTGTTTCTATCACTCTGCAGCCCTAAACATTTAATTGCTTTATGGGTTTTAGCTTTTTAAGCTTTTGTTCAAATTTATAGAAAACAATGTATGTGTTGAAAATTCACAGTTTTTTACAATAACAAATAATTTGTTTGAGATTTTTATTTCTAACATGTGCAGGTATTATACTCATTATTAAAATGTTGCTGCATTTAGGCCTACTCTTACTCTTATGCTCACTTTTCTGAAAAATTAAGAATACATTTTATTTTCAAGCCAAAATCTATAATTTAAATCAGGGCTACTGATAGTTTCAGCACAATTTTTCCTTTTATAAAGTATTAAGTTGTTATGCTGCTAAGTAATTTCTTGATAAAGTGATTATATTAATAAATGTTAAGTAAATTATTTCAGTTTACTTAAGGTCATGGCATTAAAAAAAAGAGTTACATTGCATGAGTGAATTTGGAATTAATATTTAATGAATCTATTCAAACAACACAAGTATAAATATAAATATATCATAGCTTAAGTGGAGTATTTAATAAAACAAACATGTCCATACTTCACAGTGGCATTAACTATTTCTAAGCATTAGCAACTTACTATTAGTAAAGTATATGTTTCTAATTAAGAAGTTTATTAAAAATTATTTACATTACCAATTATTATAAACTATTAATCAATATAAATGTTTGAAAATCCTTTAGAGAAAAATTATTATAAATGACAATTTTTTATTTTGATCAGAGAAAAAGAACCAAGTTCAATGCATCAGATTTTTTAACTGAACATTTATACAGGTGGGTAGTATTTATGCTTTGTTTTAGGAACACAACTTTATTTAGTGGTCTTTTATTATACCAGGTACCTCTAATATTCAATATTATCCAGACTTTTATTTGAACAGTTTGAAGGATTTTTACTTTTAACTCCAATGTAAACACACATATTATTGCAGGTTTACTTTGGGTTACTTGGGGTTACTTCAGGTGATTTTATGAAAAGAAATTTGGATAATTTTTTTTTTAAACACTACAAAGATAAATGTGAATATGGAAATATGGCTTTGTCTTATAATAATATGATCATTCTATTTTCATTGGATTTATCTTATGCAACAATTTTTTTATAACTATCTTATAGCAACAACCCATACAAGAAAAATGAAGATAGGCAAAATATTCAATTGTTAGATATTCCTTTTGTCAAGGCGTGGCTTAAGGATCAGTAAGTAGTCAAGTTCATCAGAAGCCTGAAATTATTAGTCTTTAATTTTATGATAATTAGTAACAAATAGCCCATGAAAAAAAGTAACTAAATTAGGACATGTAAAAGGTGCGTGAGAAAATAAATTGTATTCTGTCAAGTAAAAGTTAATTTACCTGTTCATTACTAGCCCACGCCCACCTTTACCCAAGTCATTAATCTGGACAGATGATGAAGCAGCACTTAGAATTCAGTGCTTCTGGAAGGGATACTTAGTAAGTATAATTATAATCCTAACATTCGTAAGGAAGTATAATAAGTACCTAAACCATGCAATGATTTATATCATATTACTGTTGACTATACCAAGTGCTTACAAATATTAAAAAAAACTGTTGTTCTCAGTTGCCAAAAGATTTATAAAATATTGTATTTTTTTTTTCTTTGGTAACTAATCTTGACCAAATTTTTAAAGGTTCGCAAGGAACCAGAAATTCAAGAACTTCGCATTTGGCAAAGGGAGTGGAGGGAAGAAGGTACAGGAATTAAAAGGAAAGTAAATGAGTTCTGGGACAAGAAGATGCCAGATGGCGATGACAGTTTATCAGTACCGATATCTCAAGACAATGAAATTTACTTATTTAAGGAAATAATAATTCCTTCACCAGAGCATTCAGAAACAAAATTAGATCAGTCAGACACTTAAATAGCTGTTTAATAAATCAATTTTTCTCCAAGAAGAATTCATTTACCATTGAAATATTTTAATATTTATTAATTCTTATCTTTCAATGATATATAAAATCTTCTGAATCTTGCTACTACTATTATTACCAGAGTTACTACTATGAAGCATACCATTACAAAAGAAGAGAGTAATGTGCATCCAAACTAGTAGTCTGTAAAAAGCATCAATGGATTTTTTTTTTAATTACTTCAACACATTTCAGGGACAAAAGGCTGCAAATCTTTAAAATGTGCAAACAAGAATAATTTGCTTTTAAAAAGTTATACACTCGAAAAGGTTCCATATTTAAATATTTTTATGCTGATCCTATATTATTTTAAATACTCTTTATACCAGGTACCTAGTTAACCCAGTACTAAAATTCTAAAAAAAATTTTTAAATATAATAATTGGTGTCTCTAAATAAAGAATCTGTCAAGATCATAACATTGTTTTGTTTTTTAAAATATGAAATAATTGCAATTTTACTTATCAGCCCACAAAACTTTAATGAGATGCACAATGGCTATTTCAGCTATTTTAAAACACATGTTCACATCATTATTAAAAAAATGGACAGGTGTAAGATTATTTCCATTAATATTTTTGTAAATAATATATATCTGTTCTTAAATAAATACATGAAATCGCATCAATGATTATCTTGGTCTCTTTGAGTCAATCATAATAAATTAGTTTGTGAATTATACTCTGTTGTTGGGTTGATCCAGATAACTGGTAGGCCTAATTACCCCATTTGGCAATGAAGCCCATTAAAAGGCTTTGTTTTCTCCTAACAAATCGGCTGATGAACATTTGAATATAATTTCTCTAACCCAGCTGCAAGATTCAAATGTTTTTGAATGGGATGGTTGCCAACGATATTTTTTTTTTTTACAAAGTCAAACTAATAATTACTTATTTTTATTCCCTGTAACCTAAACTGTTGTTTATAATTGTGATTAGTTATGAAATATTACACGTAAAGAAATAACCTTTTATTAAATACAAAATCATTTTGTTTTCCAAAGCACAAAATGCATAATAAATAATTGGAATAGGCTGATCTCTACAATAAAGGCCAAAAATATGGGTAGTCATTATTCTACTTATTTCCTTATTAGTTGAACTTCAACACTATTTTGTTAGGATATAAAGTGACAGATAAGCAAAACAAGGGTATTTATAATTAAGCCAGGGGTGGGCAAACTTTGTGTGCATAAGGTCACATTGACAAATGAAAAGCTATTGGAGGGCCGCATATATATTTTGTCATACCGTATTAGTATTACATTACGAAGGTCAAGGACTGTTTACAAAAATAGAAAATTGGAAAGAAATTTTATAAAAAATGTTAAAACAATCATAACGGTACATGAAATGTAAGGGACAGTCATTTTTTTGTTTAATATTCTATTAGTGATTCTTGATTTGTAACAGCCTATGCCCTAACTTTCAAGGTACCGATAATCAAGTATCAATGAATATAACTAAACATTATAATGTGTCAGATAATAAATTATTAAATGTTCATTTTTAAAACTAAATTTAAAATGTATTAATAAATCAACACATTAATACATTTTAGAAAAAATTCCCTTGAAAATGTAATATTTTCATTTTTGACCAACAACTAGCAAACATTAGCTATCACCTCCAACTAGCAAACATTAGCTATAAAAAAGATGCTCCAGATCAGGGGTCTCAAACTTGCGGCCCGCGGACCACTTGCACCCAGCAAGACCATATTTAGCGGCCCGCTTCCTGACAGCAAAGTTTAGTGTTAGTGCGGCCCAATTCTCATATCTATAATGTGACCCTCTGCGAAGGTTTCAGACAGTTTCAGTCAAATCTCATGGACTAGTCTAATTCTGATTTTTATTGTGTTTGTAGGCCCTTTAGGTTTGGACGTTGATTTTAAAATCCGACTAAACAATTTTATTTTATAGCATTTTATGAGACAAACATGGCCATAAAGCTGTTTTGAGAAAACTCTCCTCAAAAATTGTATATACATATATCAAAAGCTTAAAAAGTCACTTAGTGGGTAACGCACAACCGTAACTGTGTAAATTTTAGCAATCTGACACGGTAGCAAAGAATCCCTATTAAAATTGCCGCTAGTGTGTAAGAGTGAGGGAAATTCCGAGCCTGTCAGCATGGTCACTTTCAAAATAGGGTTAGTCAAAAAGCACTTTTCTAGGATAAAAAAATAAGTAATCAAAATTCATTCTCCCTACAATAGCATCTTCCTTCGCATCAATAGTTCATAAATATTGCCTTATCCAGCCTACTGTTTGATCACGTTTTAGTTTTAAAATCCCTTGTGAGAATAGCCATATTTTAATTTTATGCTTTTACGTCTTTGTTTACTAGAAACTCATTATTTTCATAGCATTTATTAACTGAATATAAATTACTTTAGATCACCAGGAATTTTATTTTCAATTAAAGGAAATAAAGCCGTTAACAATGATATGCAATGTGACGGCTGGGTCTACTTGTGGAGTTTAGGAGTGACTCGATGCTCAATATTCCAGTTTTAATGTCTTGTTGGCCTAATTTTTGGAACAAACTAACATAAGTATGTGCAGTGTTTGTTATTGTTTTAGCCAAAACTAAAGTAGATTTATTTAATGTAACTAAAACTGAAGAAAAAATATTTATTGATTTAATATCCGCCAAAATTTCATTGTTACCATCTTTTTTTTTCAATGCTAGCGCAAAACTAGCTTTGGTGACGTAAGACTGAAATCATCATGGAGGATCACATATTACATGATTATTTTAAATTATCGAGCAATATAGATTTGATACGTCAGAAATCACGTCATATTGACTCTCTGACTTTTGCAGCCTCATTTATTATGTTGGTTTCTAAATCTCCCTAAGAGCAAAGAAGAAGCGCTGCCAGGTCTCTGGCAACAAGGAGTATGAGGAAGTAAGGAAGCCTAGTTCTTGAGAACCCGTAACGTTTTTATTTGTTATTACTAAATATTAAGCAGATTTTAACATTTGAACCTTATTGAATTTGTACTCGTTTTTTTTGTGGATACTTGATGCAGCCCAGTCTTGCACAAACTCTACCTTCTGCGGCCCCTGGATAATTTGAGTTGGAGACCCCTGCTCCAGATGATGTTCTTAAAACATCACCAAGATTCATATAACTGAACATATTTAATCTTGTAATTTGAATGTCTTTTTAAAGTCCAAGCTCCATTTTGACAAACATCCTTACTGATGGATCTTCAATCTGGTCCAAGTTGAATCCTTCTTTAATCTTACCGAGGTCATCTTGGAAGTAGTCCTTGAGCTCCTCTGCATATATCATCCACACACATTTACCACAACCTGTCCCACAACAATAAACTGGTGGTTCTGGAAGTTTTTTATGTGTGACAGGATTTTTTGAATGCAATTTATTGTCATTCTGGTTGGAATTAACCATAATTGATGTTTTCAAAGCTCCATCATTTTGTTGACTCTCAGGGCTTTGAATGCTTGAGACCTCAATTTCAGTTTGATCGTTATTATTAGAGTGCCCTCCTTTACTTGCCTCAGAACTAATACTGTCATTGGAAGTGGAGTAGCAAACCCACTGGTCTAAACTTCCCTTAAAGACTGTATGTTTGATGCCAATGTTTGAAAAGATATGATCGGATGTCATGTGAATAGAGCATACGGCCCTCAAAGCACATCTTGAAGGAAGTGTACCACATAAAACACCTAGCCTGTTAACCTTTGCTAATGACATTGTGTGTCACTGTCATGTGGTATTTAGTTTTCACTAACAAGAATATAAATTGATGAGCAATGCAATTTCTAAATTGAGCTTGGGTAGTTCCTATCAATGTTTCAAAAACTGAAAGATTCTCTTCTACTGTCTGTCAGCTCATATAAGTTATAAGTTGGTGCCATTAACAAGTTTGAAGCTTCTTAGAAAATATGCTGATAAGAACTCTTACTCTTGTGAAGAATCAGTCTGAAAAATATTTACAAAAGAACATTAGCATTTTTATCTAAAGAAATTGTCTAATGAATTTGTATAATTGGATTAGCTTAGTTTAAGAATTTAAATAAAAAACTGCTACAATATGAATTTTTTTAATGAAAAAAGAAAAGCGGAATAAAAAAAGTTTTGCTCATTATTATAATTTATACATATTGCTCTGTTTGGTGATTTAGTTTGAAAATAGGGTTGGGTTATGGTGCTCTTTCAGAAACCATAATAAATTTTAGAAATCAAATAAGTTGCAACAAATAATGAAAATTAATCAAAATGATTTTTGTATTTATTTACACACATTTCGGAATAAAACACCTTTGCAAGATGCCTGATGGCATTAATTTACAATGTACTGTCTGTCTTGTATTCAATATAATTTCCATTGGGTTAACACTATTGGGTTCTATCTAATACATGAGTCAAGAGTAGTCAGGACATTATAGTTTCCTTTAAAAAATGTTTTTAATAAATTATGTAAAGTTGTATCTTCTACTATCTCCTTGTGATTCACTAATAAGTGTATATCTATAGATCTATGAGATCTTCAGAAATGATACCAATTCCAAAGAAAAATAAGGTAACTTGGAACAATGACTTACGTCCTGTCGCACTTACCTGTATTGAAATGAAATGTTTTGAGAAAATTATTCTGAGACAAATTTTGAAAGAAGTACAAGTACAGTAAAAACTTGACCCCCCACCAATTTGCTTATAAACCTGCAAGAAGCACTGAGGATGCTATCTTAATATTGTTGGAGAGACTTTACCATCACCTATACAGCCCTAAAAAATATGCTAGACTAATTTTCCTAGACTATTCATCAGCATTTAACACTATCCAACCACACCTTATGATAAAGAAACTTTCCTCGCTAGGTGTAAATTAAAATATTCAAGCTTAGATACTGAACTTTTTAACAAATCGCCCACAATGTCAATGTGATCAACCAATTATCTCTAACCAGAGAAATAAGCACCGGGGCGCCACAAGGTTGCGTTCTCTCTACTGTACTGTATACAATATATACCAATGATATTCAGAGCTCAAGCTACACCATTCTAATCATAAAATTTGCTGATGATACCACTATCATTGGCTTATTATCTGAGGAATAAGGCTTATACTGCAACTTAGTTACAAGCTTTATCAATTGGTGCGATGAAAATTTTCTCCAGCTGAATGTCTCAAAAACAAAGGAAATGGTTGTTGATTTCCGAAGGGGGGAACACCAGATTATAGATCTCAACATAAAAAATGAAAGTGTAGATAAAGTAAAGGCATATAAGTAGCCTACTTATGTGTTACCATTAATAATAAGCTAACAGGGCATGAGCATGGCCAAATCATGCCAAATGTATAAAAAATTGAAGACCAAAGTACCAAAGACTTGCCTACCTTAAAAAACTGTACAATTTCGGCGTAAATAAACAAGTTGTTAACTTATTCTACAGTGCAACAATTGGAAGCCTACTTAATTTCAGGGCTAAATTTGAGGAGGAATGCCACGGTATCTTTTGGGTATTTATTATAGTTGAAGTGAATTAGGGTTTAGGTTAGGTTGAGGGATCGATTTAGGGTTCAGGTTAGGCATAGGGATCGATTTAAGGTTCAGGTTAGGCATAGGGATGGATTTACGGTGCAGGTTAGGCATAGGGATCGAGGTAATCTACCACTTGAGCGTCGGCCAAGAAAAAATCCAGTTGTTCCGGTTGGAAGGGCTATTTAAACAACTATTCTGACATTGGAGTCTGTTAATATTTTTGCTTCCTTATAGGTGCTTTAAAGTGTTATAGCACAATACTAATACATTTATATAATTATTACTGCCAAGCTACTGATATGCCAGGAAGCAAAGGAGACTACAATAATTTTTTTTTTTATCCAGACGACGCGGATGTCCACACACAGAATGTGGAAAACGTGAATGCTCAGAAAGCGTAAACTGAAAAGACAGTTTGGCACGAGAAGCGCCGGTGATCTTTCCCCTTCATATTTACGTGGATTCATGTACCACAACTGTTTTCGTGGAAATTATATATTTTAAAACTTCATTGTCAACTTGGGGGAGAACTATGCATAATTTCCATTTTCACAAATTATCTTCTATTTCACTGAAATTTTCAGAAAAATTGTTATAGTTTATAGTTTTTCTATTTTTAAAAAAATGTCTATTATTTAGGGAATGAATATGCACAACCAATGTCATTAAAAATAATATAAGAATAGTTGTTTAAATAGCCCTTCCAACCGGAACAGCTGGATTTTTTCTAGGCCGACGCTCAAGTGGTAGATTACCGGGATCGATTTAGGGATACATTCGACTCATTCTATTAAATAGTGGCAGTCGTCCTCGTAATTTACCAATTTCAGTATTACCTGCTTGTATGGGAACTGGTATGGGTTGGGAAGGGCCGGCACAAATAACTATATAATATATATAATAGGCCTAATAATAATAATAATAACACAAGTCAACAAGTTCAACAAGTCTTACAATTATTACAAGTACAAGTCTTTGCCAAAATGTATGGAAAGTCTAGTCTAATAATAATAGCTAATATCTACAGATTTGGATCTCATTATGGCATCACAAATTGTTTAGGCTATTTAAGTTTATTTTTTAAAAAAAAGAGTAATAATTAATAAGCTTTCTTCATTTCCTTGTAATATTTATTTTATTAAATTTTATTTTGAGTTACTTTGTATTTGTTGACATTAGTCACATAAAATGAGAGTAATGGAACTTGCTTCTTAAAAAAAACGAAGATTACCGTCAGAAATTAATTGTTTACTTTTGAAGTTGAAATGCATTACTCAATGAAGTAAATGGGAGGCATTACACTACACACGGCTGGGATTAACGCACCAGCCAATAAATTGTTTACTGCCACTAGCATTAAAAAAAGAAGAGAATGTAGCGGAATTATTGTCCTTATTGAATTTATTGGTAGCATTATTATTATTATTTTACACAGTCGGATTGGAATAACGCTAAATATTATTCAATTTTATTCCCACCGCTTTTTTCCCAGTCCAGCTGGTAAATGGTTTACAACAGCTAGAAATTATTATTCCCAGCTGACTGTGAATAGCCACTCCGTTTCTTGATTATTAGAATAGAAATTTCGTATTTTCACATACACACAAATATTCTGTGATGAAGATTTTGTCCTTTTCGGCTTTATGTTCGCGGTTATTTACGGTAATTTGAAGCTGGTTTATTTTGGTTCCGATTTCAGAACGTGCATCTTTTAAGTATCTTACCCTAAAACAGAATTTTTATAATACGATAAAGATGGGGAAACTAGCGAAACCTCAACGAAGTAAAAAGCATAAAAAACTTAAGGCTGTTGACCCGTTTTATCATGGAAGCAGGAAAGACAGGTATGACCATTGGCAATTGACTTGGACTTACTGACTTACTAAGTTACTAAGTTACTTCACTAACTCCAGTTAAGTCTACTCTACTCAAAGTCATTAGTTTAGCCAGCTCATTAGTCATTAGTATTAGTATTAGTCATTATTAGCCACTCATGATTTAAGTCACTCACTGTCTCTTAAGTTACACTTTCACTTAGTTTTAACTAATATTACTAATATTAAGTCATTTAAAATGTTAACTGTGTATAGCTTACAGTTACAGTTACTGTTACAGCACATGACTTACACAGTAAGTTACTTACACTTACATGATTATAAATTTACACTACCACTACACTGTTTCGACTCAGAGAAACATGGGTCTTGACAGGTTTTTTGAAAGAAATTTGCCTCTCAAAAAAATTTAATTGTCCTGCTACCAATGTTCCCTCTAAGGTTTGTTGGTTCGTGTGCAAAGTTTTACAGCATCAATTTTTTTGTGTGCAAAATTTTACAGCCCACAGACACACACACTTATATGGAAATTTGCTGCGCGAGACTCAAAACTGCGTCTGTGAGATAGCTTGAAGGGAAAATTGTCTGCTACTAATTTTTGGCTCTTTTGACTAATGACTAATGAGTTTGCTGACCGCTGGCTTAGGACAAAAAAAAAGTTAAAGTCAAAATTAAATTCTTAAAATTAAATTTTAAATACACCAGTGTCACTAAGACTGGGATTTGAATTGAAAATCTGAATCAATCTACATTTACATCTCTGACAGTGGGTTCCAGTATAACGAACATAATCTGTTCTGGAACAGTGCTCATTATGCAGGGAATTTGTTATGCCGATTGCTATTTCCCATAGGTTCCCATTATAAAAATTTGATGCAAATGAATTTTTTTTAAATGTTGAAACATTGATAAGAATTTATTTTAAAAAACAGGGACACACATTACTCGGATGACAATATTGGACATTTTTATTTACACTTTGAACACATTCATTAATTCAAAACACAAGAATGCCACAACACTCCTGTTACCCTTCAGAATTATTCGTAGTCATAGTGAGCAGAAAAACCATTTGTAAACTCGCATATTTATTTTTTTCAAATTTTTTTCTCACATCCATTTTTGTTATGCAGATAGTTCTTTACAGTGCTTTTTTTGTAAAAAAAATAGGTGCCAGTACTCAGTGATGGATTGCCTAACTTTTAACTACCAGTTTGCACCTCGATGCAAGCTAAATCACAACTGCAAAGATACTAAATGTCTAAAACAATTTTATTTTATAATTAACCAACTTAAATTGTTTTATTATTACTTTATTAGTATACCATATTAATTAATAATAAACGTTAAAATACATGAAAAGTAATAATTTTTTCCCCACATTGAAAAAGGTGCCGGTACGCCGTACCGGTGCGTACCGGCACAAAAAAAAGCACTGGTTCTTTATGCATTCTTTATGCAAGGACCCACTGTAATTTCTTCTCACTCAACTAGAAAGTGTCCGGAGAAGAAATATTTCTCTCTCTACTCCCCTCAAGTGTAATCAAATTATTAAATACAGTGGAACTCCACTCTAACTAAAATTTGGATATAACACGTTCATGGTATGGCTCCAGAAATTTTGTATTTTCATCATTCACACAGGAATTCAACTGTTTGTTTTTTTCAAAGTACCATAATTGAAAATATAGCAAAAATATTTTTAAATTCTCATATGACATAATCACAAATTCACTGACAGTAGACACATACCTAGTCCACTGCAATGTATTTTAACATGTATACTTTTTCATTGACATGCAGTCGAACAGAAGGACTAAATAAAAAACCTAAGAACTATGATCAAGAGGTTCCAAAGAAACTAAAGCAGCTTGGTTTCACAATTGATGGAGTAAGACATGGCAAAGTTGGAAAGAACAGTGTATACAAATTCAGACACCACCCTGATGGTCTGTATAACATAAAAATAACATGTAGGCCTATTCAGCAAAATTAATTTAAACATTTTTTTTTTCATTACAAAAATTATTTAGAATTCATTTTTTATGATTAGAGCCTTGCTACTGAAGAATGATATATTATATAATATTTTCCAATCTCATTTGGGAAACCCCAAAAATATTATAAAGATGCTTTTTTTTCAAAGCTCTAAAAACTGAATATTGTGTACTTCTTATTGATTTTTTTTTTTTTTTGGTTGTAAATTTAATATTTCTTTATTTTACTTACATTTAATGCAACTTTTTAATGATTTATTTTACGTTTAAAAATTTAGTTCCACAAAAGTACAAAAACAAGTTTAAATATTTTGTACTTTTTATTGATTTTTTTTTTTTTTTGGCTGTAAATTTAATATTTCTTTATTTTACTTACATTTAATGCAACTTTGTAATGATTTATTTTACGTCTAAAAATTTAGCTCCACAAAAGTACAAAAACAAGTTTAGCACACCTCTAGGGTTAAAATCTGACTCAAATTTTGTAAATAACAATCTAAAGAAGCAGAAAGATGCTACAGAAAAGCCCAAAGAGTCAAAAAAAATTAAGATAGGAAAGGTGAAGATTTCAGAGGAAGCTGTCAATAAATACATAGACAATATAACGCCAAGCAGACCTTTTGTTGAGAATTTCCAATTCACAAAGAATCCAAATGAGACAGATGCAAAATTTATGAAGCGTGTCAATGAAAAGACTAATTGGGTACTCAGCAAGTCCAAAATCGATGATATGTTTGATGTAAGAAAACATTACTTTAACTTTTTTTTATACAATGATTTAATAAGTGCCTTTCTTTTTTTGTTTACTTACAATCAATAAGCTAAGATAGGCTTATGGCCTTAAGATATTGTTTCAAATTTAGAAAACAGGATCTCTTGTTCCTGTTAATAATCCATCTAAAAATCTAAAGGACAATATTTATTTTGTTTCTCTTTACTTCATTTCTTTCCTCATAATTTTACATTGCAGATTAGTGATGAAAAGAAAATTATGATGAAAATTAGAACAACAAAGGGAATGAGTGAAAAGAAAAAACAGTGAGCATACTTGAAGCAGTTTAGTTTTTAAAACTTCACAGCCCTTTTTACATGATAGTTTGCCTTCAATTAGCATTTAAAACATATTTTTAGAACTATTTCTCAACAAAAATTAGCCTTTTTTCTGTTTAAGTGAAAACGGAACAAGCATTAGCCAGTTTATTCTGAATTAAATGGTTTAAAACACAACAAAATTTAAAACTCTTTATTTTTGTAGGCACAATTTGTTAATTGGAAATGTTTTGGATTCCTGAATACTTTTTGGTACAGCTATTTAAAAATTGATATTATTTTCTTTTATTTTATACCCAACATCAATTTTTTTTTTTAAATTTGCTTTCTTTTGATTTACTTAATTTTCTAAATTTAACTGATTAAATTTTTTTTTCAGGAGACTAAAAGAGAAGAAAAAGAAAAAATTAGAAGCTTTGAAGGAAAAGAAGGAGGAAAAGAAAACCGGATTTGCTGCTCTCCAAGGTAATTTTGACTTAATTTTAAGACTCCTTAAATAAAAAAAGCTAACATGGCATGAGCACAGCCAAATCCTGTATAAGAAATTCAACCAAAGACTGTTCTACCTCAAAAAACTGTACAATTTCGGCGTAAACAAGCAAGTCGTTAACTTATTCTACAGTGCAACTATTTGAAGCCTGCTTAATTTCAGTATTACCTGCTGGTGTGGTAATTCATCGTCTGATTTTACACACCCCATAAACCGACTAATCAAGAAAGCTAGAAACATAACACAAACTAAACATCCTTCACTTGAAGAACCATTTGATTGTACAGTTTTTTGTTTTTGTATAGAGACATTCAGCTGGAGAAAATTTTCATCGCACGAATTGATAAAGCTTGTAACTAAGTTGCGGTATAAGCCTTATTCCTCAGATATTAAGCCAATGATGGTGGTATCATCAGCAAATTTTAAGATTGGAGCGCTGTCACTTGAGCTTTGAATATCATTTGTATACATTGTATACAGTACAGAAGAGATAATGCAGCCTTGTGGTGCCCCGGTGCTTATTTCTCTGGTTAGAGATAATAGGTTATTTACTTTGACATATTGTGGTCGATTTGTTAAAAAGTTCAGTATCCAACCCTCAATATTTAAATTGACACCTAGCGAGGAAAATTTCTTTATCATAAGAAGTGGTTGGATAGTGTTAAATGCTGATGAGAAGTCTAAGAAAAGCACTCTGGCTTATGTTTTAGGACTGTCTAGGTGATGGTAAAGTCTCTCCAACAATAGTAAGATTGTGTCCTCCGTACTTCTGGCAAGTTTGTAAGCAAATTGGTGGGGGTCAAGTTTTTGCTGTACTTCATTCAAAATTTCTTTCGGAATTATTTTCTCAAAACATTTCATGACAATAGAGGTAAGTGCAACAGGTTGTAAGTCATTGTTGCACATTACCTCAAATAAGTAATCTTAAAAAAAAATTATAAAACAATTTTACTATTTATTTAACATTAATATTAAAGGATTTTATAGGCACATATATTAAGTGAACCTACTTTTCCATAAGCATTCAGATTAAGTATAAAATGCTGTAAAGCATTATGCAGGTGTGTGCAAAAGTATCCCTGCATTATGAATGTATTCAAATTAAGAAACCTTGATTTCTGCTCCCTCACCTCCTTTTCAGCGATTAAAGTGGCTATGATGGTCACCTTTTTATTTGAGATAAGCACTATAAATATGTAAACATCCGTCACCTACTTTGGGAAAGTGGCCTTTTTTTTTTTTTAGAGATGTGAAGCGTTTTTGTATTTTGTATACATTAACTGTATGTTTATTTATTTTTCGATTACGATACGTTATTGAATGATTGTGGGGTCGTAAAGAACTATTTTGAATCGATATTGCGCTATTTTGTGAGTTCTATGGTGACCAGGTCGTTTAAAATCATATTAGAAGTCAGTCTTACAGGTCACAGAGCTAGCTATATATATGGATACCCCTTTTGCTAGAGCAGGGGTCAGGAAAATTTTTGTGTGAGAGCCATGGACACCACATATTTTGAAAAGTAATTCCGTGAGAGCCATACATTATGTTTAAAACTAAAAATTCAAGTAAATGTGTGCATTTTGTGTAATTTCACCACTAAAAATGCAATAATTATGTCTCTGAATTCTTTTTAATAACATTGTTAGGCTGTTGCTAATCAATAATGAGCATTTCTTACCATTAATGCAACTTTTTTTATAATCGAACATTTGTCTGCGAGCCAGATGCAGCCATCAATAGAGCCACATCTGGCTCGCGCGCCATAGGTTCCCAACCCCTGTGCTAGAGGAAATCTTTGACAATGCAACTGTAAAAATTCACACATTTAATTTATTTGACAGCTGATATTTCTAATTTCTATGTTTTTATTTGAAAGCTGATGCTAATATTTAATTGTATTTGCCATCATCTAGATAAAGTTGAATTTGGAGAGGTTGTTCATGCTCCTCCTGTGTTATCAGTGAGACCAAAGAAAGCTGTTGTCACAGATGTTGACAGGGTATGCTAAACTCTGTGTAAAGGGATGTATTTTAAGTAACTCTGTTTAGTAATGCAGTGTTGTCACAACTAAAATTAGCGGTTTTTAATTTATTGGGATATATTTTAAGTACCAGTAATGCAGATTAGTCATAAATAAAATTGGAATTTTAATGTACTTTTTTGTTGGATTTACATTAATTTAATTTCATCGTAAAATAGGTTTGTGAGATGATTTGTATAAAACAGACTATTAAGATTACCGGTTTATGTAATAGCGATTGTCAAATACTGGATATCCATTTTCAGCCTGGACTCAGAATGCCAGAATTAAAAGCTGCCTTTGAGGGCAAGAAGGAAGAGACAGAGAAACTGATCAAGTCTCCAAACAGCACAGCAAAGTTGGAGAGACAAGTTGGGAAATCAATCAAAAGAAAGTCTTTGTCGTTAAGGCAGAAAGCTGTAGCAGATGCCCAGAGAGAGAAAATGATAGAACATTACAGGCAGTTAAAGAAAATAAAATAGAATGAGTTTACCTCTTTATTTTTTATTATTATTTTTATAAAACAATATATTAAGCATTAAATTTAGATTACATTTTCTTAAAAGCTCATTGAGTTTATAATAAGCAGTAAGCATTCATAACAAGCTGTTGAGTTACTGTTCAAGGGATGTCTAGCTTTAGATCAGTGGGAAAGTATGGGCCTGCTTTTGGCTAATGAGATGGTCAATGTCAGGTTACTTATTTGGCACTGCTGCTACTACTAGTACCCAGGTAATGCCTGGCTGCACATTCAAAACTTAAGACAAGTTAATCAAAATAATACCAGCACCATGGGTGGATTGGACTAGCCAACCTTTGATTGGCAACCCATCTAAGAGAAGACACTCTGGTTACAAACACTGACCGGAATCCTGTATGACATTAACACAGTGAAAATTCTGCTAACTCGTGTGACGTGGAATGTATTAAGATCAGTAACACAAAAGAAATACTGCCAGTCATCCACTACATCCTAGCCTGTCTCCCAGTTGTCTTGCAAAGGGATCAAAATAGATAAGGCTGACAAATTGCCAGACTCTCCCTTACTTAAAACAAAATACAGCGCAAGTCAATGCAGTTACTTGAGTCAAGTATTGCCTTGGGCATCTTCGCATGCAATGGGCGCACAATACCTAGGTACCCTTATGGCAGCCAAGTTAAAGAACCCTGGTGGGGCAGATGTGGACATAGTTTGAGGAAGGACCCTTGGTTTATGAGCTTACATTTTTTTTTTTTTGTAAATACCTCTGTAATTACAGACGACTAAAAATAAAAATGACTAGCCTGAGAATGTATTTGCAAAGCTGAGGCTAAATCACATCTCCATTAATCACTTGCAAACATGTTATATCATGTAACATGTCCACATATTTAGTGTATGTTATGCCATCTAGCCTGTCCCTGCATTTGCTCTTTGCATATTGAGGAATAAAATCTAACATGTTTGGTCCTTAACAGATTGTACCATGTGCCTCAAGTAGCAAAAAATAAATATATAAAAAAAAAATACTAATTCAAATCATTTACCGGTATTAAAAATTTATTGATCATGCATTAAAAATAGCATTTGGAAAATCTTGAAATGTGATAAAAATTAAACATGTTTACATATACTCTTAAAATGCCCTGAAATTATATCCCACTTCAGAATTATCATTCCGGCTTAGGCCTAGACTGGTAATGAAAGTATTGTTTTAGAATGCTTTATTCTTTTGATGCTTTAGTCCTTGCAGCTTTTGTCTTGGCACCAGTAACCTGCTTTATGGCCTTTTTCACAGAAGCTACCTGAAAAGATTTTTTAAAATAATTGTATCTATTTTAGTTTCACTTTTACAGATGATATTCACAGAGTGCTGAAACAAAAGTCTAAACATGGTGTTCACATCAATTAGCTATTAAACTTTAACTGATTTTATTATTTAACATAAGTAGTGTGTGTGTGTCCTATATAATTATTGGTTGAATCCAGGCAATCTCCCCCAGCCAAACCTAAATTTAATTCCAGACAGTGCCTTCCATATGTTGCCAGACCCCACATTATGAGACGCGGATAAAAATTTTAAAAAGTGAAACGACTATAACAAAGATACACACAAAAGCATTAAAGGGCAACAGTCCTGGCATAAAATATTTTAACAAAATTTAAAGTGAAATTAATTAATGAGAAATTCATAATCATACAATGAGAACCTTATCCACCTGTACATTTCTAGTTCTGCATTATCACATAGTTTTTTTTAAATATTATTGTAGGCTAAGCCTGGCTACATACATTTACAATTGAAAATAAATTTTAAGAGTAAATTTTGTTTCACATGAAATGACTCACTTTTTGTCTTGCCATTGCTGTGTTAATCTTTGGAGTACTGTGTGCTTGAGTCACTGGTACTTTTCTTTTGATAGGCTTTGTGGGGGTCTTTTTCTTGGCACCTTCGTCTGAATCTGCTTTCTTTATAGCTTTAGGGGCCCTTGGCTTTTTAACCTTTTCTGGTACAGGATTTTCAACCTTAGACTTTGGCGACTTGGAAACCAATGGCTTACTAGGAGATTTAGTCACAGATGGCTTTTTAGGAGATTTAGCCACCAATGGTTTTTTAGGAGATTTAGCCACCAGTGGCTTTTTAGGAGATTTAGCAGGCTTTTTGTCAGATTTTTCTTTACTTTTGGCAAGTTTTTTCTTTTCATTATAAGCAAAGAGGCCTTTGTTGAAAAGGAAGTGTCCTCTTAGTCCTGTGTCTTCAGAAGCCTTAGGCCTTATGATCTCTCCACTTTCAATCCCCTTTATTATGGCTTTCCCCAGCCTGGCATTGGAAAACTTTGCTTTAGTACTTGGGTAGGCCTCTGTCACTGATCGTTTGATGGCCTGGAAGGTAACAAAAAGCTTTACTATTGGAAATATGAAAAGTAAGTGATTTTTACATTTGTTAATTTTGGTTTTGAAGATGGCAGTTTGACATGGCCATTACTGGTACCCTAAATGTGACAAGTATCACTTTAGTTCCAGTACCCTTCATGTGATGCCCTGAGTAGCGGTATTACTTTATTAGTTCTAGTACCCTTCATGTGATGCCCTGAGTAGCATTATTGCTTTATTACTTTCAGTACCCCATATGTGACCCCCATGGGGCAGTATGATGTTAGTTTCCTACTGCTACAAGAGGCAGTGTGACAGTTGACTTTAATTACAGTAACAATCTTGGTGCCCATTCCAATACCCTTCACTTGACTCCCCGAGGGGGCATTTGGCTTACTATCCCTGAGGATTGTTCAGAATTTATGTGAAGATAGCCATTTTAAAAAAAACCTGTCTATAGGCTATATGTATAAGGCCTAAGTTTAAGTTATAAGCAGAAACAATTATTTTATACTATCCTATAAGGCAGTGGTCCCCAAATGGCGTTCCGTGGACCTTCACTGGTCCGCATGACTAACGCTGCCGGTCCCCATAACATAAATATTTATTGTCAAATAGAAATAAAAGTATAAAAATAAATGGTGCACCGGTCCCTGGTAAAATTTAGAAACTTGTTCACCTGTCCGCCAAACTTAAATGTTTGGGAACCACTGCTGTAAGGCACATGCATAATTTAGCCAGGTCGATACTAACCTGCAATGTTAGGCCCTTGGCACCTTTACTGGCCCTGAGAGCCCCCAGCACCATATTGAACATGGTTGGAACATGAGTCTTTGGATTGTCTGATGAACTTTTGTCATCTGCATCTTCCTTTGCAGGTTGGGCTTTGGGCATTTTAGCCGGCGGTTTTGTTGGAGTTCCAGCTGGTGACTTGTTCGAGGATGAGCTTGAGCCAGACATCTTAATAAGAAAGAAATTTTATTTATTGAATAAGTTTAAGTCACTAAGATTTCTGATAAATTTCTAAAATACTATTTGACTGAAAAGAAAGTTTGTATAATGAATTCTAAACATACTTTCTACAATCTACATTAAGATTAAGATACAATTTTATCTAATAAAATCATCTTTTTTAAATTTTATAGCCTGATCAAAATATTAGTCTTAGAGTACCAAGCTGGCTAAAATCATTACAGTAGAGTCCAATTCTTACTCTAGTAGAGCAGAATTAAAAAACTGGATCTAGTAATTATAATAACCTAACCTAGAACTACATCTAGGTTCATGCATCAAAATATGCACCAACTGATTTTATATGTACAGGGCCTAATACAACGTGGGCCTGGGATTTCAGGCAGTGCAGGAAAAAGGATTGTACAAGAAAAAAGAGACATGTTGCATAAAAATGTTGAAATATTTATTTTGGAATAAACTCTTCATTAAAATTGTTCTTATTCTTATAAAAAAAAAAAATCTTTAAGTTTATCAACAGTTGAACTTTTTTACAAACTCAAGTTCTACTTTTTTTTTTTTTTAGTTGCAAATTATAATTAGGCTTAATACATAAATTTAAAATTAGAAGTCCGTCCATATTTTCACATTTTAAATGCGTTGTTACTTTTATGGTGAGACTTAGTAGACCTACGTCGTAAAGTGAAAGTCATAGGTCGTGAATGAGTAGAGCTATATATAGACTACAGAAAAGGTTGGGGAAACTATCTTAAAATGAAAGAAAAATTCAAAATGCAGGCCCTCACCTCAACCGCTAATTAAAAACAAATCAAAATTCGTTAGAATGGAAATATTTGGCAAGGCATTGAGTCACATTGATTTTGATTGGGTAACTGTAAGACTAAGTACTTAACATTTTAAATATCATGAAACCACCGTTTCTTACCTTTCTGTGCTAGTTTATTTTGTGATAAATTTTCAAATGGGAATAAATTGGACTGGCCAAAAACTGAAGTAGTCAACTTCCACACAGATGCGTGAATTTGTAATACAGGCCCCAACTGATGAGGTCTTCGGCTGAACAGCACGGTACACACCAACCAATCACTGTAAAGTGGCGCCAAGCACCCTCACCTCCACCCCTCTCCCCCACCCAAATTGCGAGGTAAGACGTTACACAGTGTTGAGTTATAACTCATGCTGATCACGAGATGATTCAAAACATCAAAGGCTCTTGGTCGTTACTATGCTTTGGTCCGCTACGACAACCGGGATGTGCGGGAGTGTGGGGGGGGGTGGCTTGGAGCCTGAGACAACACAGTGTTGAGTTATAACTCATGCTGATCACGAGATGATTCAAAACATCAAAGGCTCTTGGTCGTTACTATGCTTTGGTCCGCTACGACAACCGGGATGTGCGGGAGTGTGGGGGGGGGGGTGGCTTGGAGCCTGAGACAAAACAGTTTTGTTACGACTTCTGACTTCTAAGAAGGCTAAATTGATGGGTGTGTGAGAGTGCAGGACCGGCGCCAGGAGGGTGCGGGGCCTTGGGCAAATTGAATTTTGCGGGGCCGTTGACGTTATATATTCCGCTGATATGATATTAAGACACGTTATAGTCGTACTGGTGCCTGGCTGGTCATAATGGGACGCGTCATAACGGATATGTGTTCACTCGCTTAGTTTCCTAAATTTCAATTTTTTTTTCTATAACAGTTAATTGCCCTGGCCCAAATTACTCATCGCGGCTCCATTGTTACCAATATCAAGGTTGATAGGAACTATGAGTAGGCTCAGGTATATTATAAACTACGGCAACGCGCGGGGCCCCGCAAACTCACCACCCCCTAGCGCCGGCCCTGGAGAGAGAGACAGGCTCCCCAGTAATTTATGAATGAAGATAGCTTGAATGAAGGTAATGCTTCCTTACATCCCCACAAGACAACCACGCTCTTCCATTGACAATAGAACCCTCTCAATCCCAAGAACCAAAACCAAGACCATCGGTGAACGTTCCTTCTACTTCCATGGGCCCACGTTCTGGAACCAGCTCCCCTTCCATAGCCGTCATTGTGAAACCTCGTCCACTTTTAAAAAGTCCCTTAAAACCCATCTGTTTAGGTCCGCCCATGACCTGTGATGCACCCTCCTTGCCCTGCCTCATTTTCTGTCTCGGGTTGATCCCGTAGTATAGGCCAAAACGTGCCAAAGTGTCCTCGTTTTATAGCCATTTTAATTGTTTCTTTAGTATAGTAGTTACTATCCTAGTGTCTCATTTTTTATTTTACTTAGTTTATATGTTTTTAATAATTGTAAAGCGCTTAGAGCTTTAAGGTAAGCGCTATATAAAAAATGCCTAAATAAATAAATAAATAATTCTTTAATTTTACGAAGTGGCTGTTCGCACCCGGGTACCAGAAGTGAGAGGTTGGGATTAATTTTTAAAAAAAAACTATTTAAAATATTAGTGTTGGGTATGTAAGACAAAATGAGGTATCAAATGAAAGATAATTGAATATATATTTGTAAACTTACTTCTTCAGTTTAACTAAACTAAACTACCACACATGACATCGGATGGGATTTTATCTAAAGGGACCCGGGTCCGAATAGCGGCTATGCGTACTGGAAAAGTTATCGTTTTTAAATTTTAGTATTGTGTTTCAATCATTTTTTTTTACACCAGGAAGGTTTCATTGAATAATTTTACCGTTTCTTCTCTAGCTGTTATCACGTGACCCCCCCCCCCCCCCCCCCCTTTTTTTTTTTTTTTTATATCAAATGAAAGATAATTGAATATATATTTGTTAACTTACTTCTTCAGTTTAACTAAACTAAACTACCACACATGACATCGGATGGGATTTTATCTAAAGGGACCCGGGTCCGAATAGCGGCTATGCGTACTGGAAAAGTTTTCGTTTTTAAATTTTAGTATTGTGTTTCAATCATTTTTTTTTACACCAGGAAGGTTTCATTGAATAATTTTACCGTTTCTTCTCTAGCTGTTATCACGTGACCCCCCCCCCCCACCCAACTTTTTATTTATCTTTTCTAATGTCATCACATGATGACAGTCGATCAAAGCGGCCTTTTGTTGATAACAATTCCAAGAAAAATATTTTCCTCTTACTTCTTTCTGGTCTCCACTTCTATAAATTGTTTTTATTAGAAGATATTAGACTTATTTCATATCACATAAAGCGTCTTGCCTTTTTAAACTATTCTTTGTCACGCGACTCTAAAAGGCTCGGGGCCTTTAGGGTAATTCGGAACTGTTTGAGGAGCCTTCGCAGTATAGCATTTAAATTAAACGTTCCCTTTCAGAGAAAGCTCTTCATACAAGTTTTAAGCTTTTGTTGTCAAATTTGTATTCATGCTGCGCTATGGAAGGTGATGATCAAAGACCTTGCCTTGTGGTGAGTGCACCACTGCAAATAGAAGAAAACAATTAATTTGTCCACGCTATAACAACTTGTGGAATGAAGACATCATGGACCTGAGCACAATAAAAATTTGAGGCCATAGTTATATATGTGCGTTTTCATTAGTAGGCATGGTATGGAACCTAGAGACCGACCGAATTTTGGCTTCGGCTTCGGTTTCGGCGCCGAAAGTTGCCATTTGATCACTTTCGGCCCCAGTTTCGTTTTCTGACGAAACAGAAAAAAAATCGGTTTCGTTTTGGCTATCTTGCCGAAAGTGACTGAGGTTTTCGGTCATCTACCAGAAGTTAGACTGTCTGTCTGTCTCTAATCCGACAATCCGATATTCATTATTGCTCCATCTTGCTGTCATCGTATGTTCTTTGACTATTTTTCAGCGAAAACTACAGAAAGCTGCATGATGACCTACTTGACCTATATTTCCAAAAAACTAAATTTCAATTAGGCCTAAGCAAATGTAAACAATTTGTTGGTAAAAACATTAATGGGAAGGTAATATTTATATCATTATTTTGTATTAAACTGTTTTTAAAAATAAAATTTGGAACCCTAGGTTTATTCAGTTCCTTCCTTTGAGATATTCATTTGATTTATCATTTCATGCTCATCACTGCTGCCATTGACAAAGGTGAATAATATTGCATAATCCGAGGGAATGGTAATATTTCCATTACTATTTTTGTTTTATTTTATTTTAAAACATTAAGGAAACTTAGGCTTTTTCAAACCATTCATTTCTTGAAATTCCCCATTATCATGCTCATAGACATTGCTATTGACGAAATAACATAGCCTACGTGTGCATGTATCACTGGCTCGATTATAATTATGTAGTAGGCCAACTGCAGACCTGTTTATTTGTATGATTTTGGCGACCAATTAAGATGTCTTGGGATTCACCGCCGAGCGCCGTCAGAGCAACAATTTTAAGAGACTCGGTTAAAAAAAAAAAAATCTTCCCCACTAATGGGGGTAGGGGAGGTTGGTCCCCGACCAACCTCCCTCACCCCCATCATGAACGAAAACAATTACGTCACCAGCACGGAAAGCCGAGTGTGTTGTTACTGGGCTAGGGAAAGCCTATTGTGTTGTTACTGGGCTAGGGAAAGCCTATTGTGTTGTTACTGGGCTAGGGAAAGCCTATTGTGTTGTTACTGGGCTAGGGAAAGCCTATTGTGTTGTTACTGGGCTAGGGAAAGCCTATTGTGTTGTTACTGGGCTAGGGAAAGCCTATTGTGTTGTTACTGGGCTAGGGAAAGCCTATTGTGTTGTTACTGGGCTAGGGAAAGCCTATTGTGTTGTTACTGGGCTAGGGAAAGCCTATTGTGTTGTTACTGGGCTAGGGAAAGCCTATTGTGTTGTTACTGGGCTAGGGAAAGCCTATTGTGTTGTTACTGGGCTAGGGAAAGCCTATTGTGTTGTTACTGGGCTAGGGAAAGCCTATTGTGTTGTTACTGGGCTAGGGAAAGCCTATTATGTTGTTACTGGGCTAGGGAAAGCCTATTATGTTGTTACTGGGCTAGGGTGACCAAATCATGAACTGGAAAATACGGGACACTTTCAAGGACGGTTGGGGGGGGGGGGGAATACCAATACTTAAAAACATTATTGCAAACTGTGAACTCGGCTTCACTTTCATAGCGTCCTTTTTTAATATAGTTCCAGTTCCACTCTTTTAAATACTCCTCCAAAGACTTCCATTGACGCTTGGCATTATTAATTTCTACATGAGAAGATAATATAAAATTAAAGAATGAAGTTCGACCCTCAAAACAAACACCTGTCACTCTGGAACCACCCCCCCCCCCAACCTCGGCTTCAAGTCTCGTGTCTTTCGCTATAGACTCTAGGCCAATACTTATACACATTTACATAGAAGACCTATGCTAGGAACACTGTGATGGAGGGGGAACAGTGCAGTCAATACGCGAGACCACATCACTACTGGCACTGGCTACATCGCTAGCCAAAATATTACTTGAAGTTATATTATAAATTAGAAAGTTTTAGTGATTTGAAAATATGTTTGGTTTAAAAAAACGGGACATTTAGGCGTCCCGAGAGACTTTTTCGGGACAACGGGTACGATCGTGAAAAACCGGGACAATCCCGTTTTTACGGGACGTTTGGTCCCCCTATACTAGGCTAAATATTAATACAGCGATATCTTGCCAGCTTTTTATAAAAACAAAGCATTAGCATGACGATAACCGCGAAACATTGGGGTGGTATTGTTATAGCCTTAGTAACTTTTATTTAGGTGACATTTGGCTTTATTAGAGCAACAATAAATATTGGAGGTATGTTCTAAAGTATATTATAAAAGCAATGGGCACTCAACGGTATAATTTGCATGAATTTTATCCCCACAATCACTACCCGCTATACCCCCCCCCCCCCCCCCAATTTTCGCTTACCACACCAAATTAAAATAAAAAACATTTTAAAGAAATTTAAATTACTTTTAAATCAAAATGGTAAGAGACAAAGTATTATTTAGATCAGGGGTCTTAAACTCAAATTATCCGGGGGGTAGAGTCTGATTGAGACTGGCCTGCATCAAGTACTCCACACAAAAAGCGATGACAAATTCAATAAAGCACAACAGTTACAAACTGCTCAACCTTTATTAATAAGAAACAAAAAATTAAGGGCTCTCAAA